AACAAAAAAACACCCCAATTACAAATCGATTTTAGAAACAAATTTTTTCTTGATCAAACAGGCCTAAGGGAAAGGATGTCACATTGAGGAGGGAGCCAGCTTGTTTTCTGCTGCTCTAGAACAGCAGTTCTCAAAGTGTGCTCCATGGAGCCCTTGAGGCTTCGCGAAGCATTCTAAAGGGCTCTGTGATTTCCTCACCCTCGTCCTTCCTCCAAGCTTTTCCTCCTCTTTCCTGCTCCTCCCCTGCCTCCCTTGCCACAAAAATATTTGCCCCTAACTCCCTTGCCACCAAAGGTTTTTTCCCCTTGCATTCCTTGCCCATATAGCTTCCCCCTCACCTTCCTTGTTTCTAAAACCTTATTTTCTGCCCATCACTCAGGGGCTGCTTTGATTGTGCTTTTTTCCACATGGCAGAAGAGTCTTGAATTGGATAGCCCCTTGGGGTTTCTGCTACTACTCCTACTCCTACTACTACTACAAAAGCTGGATGGCCATCTGCCGGGGGTGCTTTGATTGTACACTGCTGTATGGCAGGAGGTTTGATTGGATGGCTTTGGGATCTTTAATCATTCTATCTATGCACTACCATGCTGAAAGCTCTTGTAATGTCTGCTTGCACCTCTGATCACCAAAATTTAATGAAGGTGCTCCTGGTGGCACAATGGATTAAACCCTTGTGCTGGCAGGACTGCTGACCAGGGGTTTGCATCCGGTAAGGAGGGTGAGCTCCCATCTGTCAGCTCCAGCTTCTCATATGGTGACATGAAAGAAGCTTCCCACAGGATGGTAAAACATCTGGGCCTCCCCTCCTGGGCAATGTCCTTGCAGACAGCCAATTCTCTCACACCAGAACTGACTTGAAGTTTCTCAAGTTGCTCCTGACATGAAAAAGGAAACCAAGGTGCAATCTACATGGCTTACTGTCACATCACTGCAAGCTCTACTTGGTTCTCACTAAAATTATAAGGATGAAATATTGAGCTGCAAACCAGGGTTCAATTCCATATAATATTCTCAGGCTGCAAACCAGATCTCATTTCAGTGCAGTGTCCTCTTAACATTGCTGACCAGAGTTCATTTCTATAGGCTTTTCGTATTTCTGATCACTGATTGTGGAAGATGCTTGCAGGCAAAATAGGCCAATATCCAACAGGCCAAATCCAGCCCACAGGCCAGAGATTCCCTGATGTCAAGTATATTGGTCATTCATCTCACCTTTCAAAACTGTCATGGAACTAGTACCTTCAATAATTCTATCATTTCAGCAAACCTGTAAAAAAGACAATACTTTTATTTCTTTATCTATGTGCTGAGAAAAGATACATCTGGCAATTTAATTTTGTTGTCATCACACTGTAGCTGCAGTACTTAAAGAATCAGGAAAATAAATACACATGTGGCATAACTTTGCCAGAAGAGCTGGGCTGATCCAACAGATTTTTACTCCATGCGACAGGTTTTGCTGCATTTGTGGAGTTAAAAACAACAACAACACTCCCCTGAGGAGTATTAATTCAAAGCAATCACAAGATGCCCATCCTATCCTCTTGCTTGCTGCCCTGTTACTTCTCCTCCTTATCATTCTGTATTGCCTCTCCAACCAACCATTTGTATCTTTGCTTGCTTGCTTGGTTTTATTTTAAGCCAGGGGCTGCCTTCTCCTTCAAAAAATGAAAACCATTTGATTTGGGAAATGCCTGAGCATGTGAGAGCATTTTTTAAAAAAACAATCTAGGAAGAGTTCAGTTTCATTTGCTCTCTTCCTTCTGTTCCGAGCAGGCAGTACTGAGCTCTGTATAAATAGCCAAGCTTGTGCTACATCCAGTTTGAGAGATCCAAGCATCTAGTGGAAGGCAAACAACAGCACGGCAGGCTCGGAGCAGCTTGCAAAAACTAAAGATGATGTATATTTCAGCCTCGATCTCCTGAGCAATCTCGGGAAGCTTGGATGGATTACAATAATACTTGAGCAAGGCTGCTGGCGTCTATAAAGCACTGTCACTTACAAGAGGGGATAAGTGCTAGAGAGAATGTCATTATATCCACGTAAGATAAATGTGAAGAGCTGATACCCTGGAAAGGATGAGTCCTGGAGATAGGCTGATGGCTTAAACTTCGAAAATCTTCTCCAAGCAGAATAGGTGAGTCTCAAGATGAGTTCTTTTTTTAAGAATGGGGAAGGTCAGGAGTTTATGATTTGGAGGGGGTGTAAGGATTTTTTTTTGTTTTTAGTTATAGACTATTGAAACAGCTTACCAATACTTTCAAGATAAAAAAAATGTTGTCAGAGTCTTATTTTGATATTAACATATCTTAGGCATACCTGTTTTGTGAACTTGGAAGTAGCAATGTAAAATCCAGTGCTGGCTGGCATGACGCCTTGTTGCTAAAGTATCACAGCTAATAAACACTATAATGTTATTGTACTCTGCCTTGGGAGGAAGCCACATTGAACTCAGTAGTACTTACTGCCATGGTACTAAATGAGCCCTAAAACATACTTCCCATTTCTTGTTTTTATCTTTGCTATAAATTACAGCAAAACACATGCTCCACTGGGCTTTTAAACAGGTTAGAATTCTGTTTGCTGATGTTTTGAGTGGTGATAATCTGAGATGAGTGATTGGTTGGTACTGACATTTCTCAATGCGTTTTGTTGTTTCTGTTGTTTACCCGCAAAAGTACTGCACTATACCCATTCGTTTTGATTTTCAGTTAAAACTAATCATTGCCCCCTTCTTTAAAATTACTTTTTAGAAATAAAATAAAAACACACATTAATGCCATTCAAAAGAGAAGTTGACTTTGACTTAAAGAGGCAAGTTCAGTTGTAAAATTATGTTTGTATTTTAGGTACATATTGATAAGATGTAAAAATATTAACTGCTTAATATGGATCTTTAAGATTGGCTTGAGAAGAATGGCTAGCAAGTCAGAGGCAAGGTTAAATGAAAATATTAATGTTGTATTGATCAAACAGGAAGAGTGAATATACTTGCTAATGCAAAACAAACCATTTAAATACGGTTGCACATTTTACTACTGCAATCTGTACACAAGAGCAATGACAACGAAGAATTCATACTAAAATGTATGAATGGCTGCATACTTAATTAACAGCAGACAGAAATACATCCCTTCCTCCAACACTGCATTATCATTTATGCAGATCCTAGAAGGTTTATATTGGAAAACTAACTCATTATAGAAGAAAAGAGGGGAGAATATCAAATTGGAGAAAATGTAATATGTATCTAGAGCGATTATCAATGAAACATAGGGAGGCAAAGAAATAGGGTTCCACAAGGAAAAGTTTGTGTGCATGTGTAGTAAGAAAACAAAACTATAGACTTGTAATACATTGTACTTTTCAGACTTAGAAATCAAAAGTATGAAAGTATGCTAGGAATTGGTTTTATCGCTACAAGACAGACATGACTTCATATTTTGCAGATAATGTAAAATATTTGCAGGGAAACTTGTTCAATCCCATTGAGGTTCTGAACTCTGACTGCAAATATTTGGGACTAATATAATTTTCCTGAAATAAATCTAGGATTACAGTAATTTAACACCTTTGCTTTACTTTTAAGACAGTGGACTTAGAGCAGTTCTAGGGATGTTTACTTAGGTGTACATCCAACACCATAATCAGTGTGCTTTGGGTACAACTTTCACAGTATGACACAGTTACTTCACAAATATTCTTAAATAAATAAAGATGTGGCATAACAAAACAAAAGCAAAAAAGTTAACTGAAGATAAAAATAATTATCTGAAACAATTTGTGGAAAAAACAAATCCTATAAATGCTGTTAATGAAGACAGCTTCCGTAATAGTCCTGTAAATAGAATGGGCTACATTCCATGTTGCATGCTTACATTACAACTAATGTTCAACCAAACAGTTTCAATCAACATTACAAACCTATAAAACATTACTTGGCAGGAAAAGATCATACAGAGAAAAAAAATCAAAAGTATGTACATCAAAGTCTCAGCTTTTGCCACACAATTGGATGCAGGTGCATCCATGTACATGATTTAAAACATACAATTCCATTTATATTTCTGGAGGCTAATAAAATAAGGAAGAAAATGGTCCATTTGCTTCAAATAAAAGCCCAATAAATCCACAATCTAGATGCTATTATATTCAAAGAAAGGAAGCAGATGTTACATTATTGTTTCTGATATTAAAGCAATACTGTCTATTAGTACAAATCAGGGAATGTGATCAAAATTTAATCAAAATAATTGACAGGATGGTTGTCTCGTTTTTTAGTAACGTGATTTCCCGCTTTACCTTGTTAGTATATTTGACAATTTCAAAAATAATGTGTGTGTATTTATGCAAGACTGTAACTATTAATTTGCTTGGCTTACCAGAGCGCCTTTTCCTTTTCAAACTATAAATCTGCTTAGATTTAAAGGGATTTCAGGCAGATGATCCCTCTTGAAATTCAGTGAATTTACACAAGACATGTCCTGCCTTATTACATGGTTGTTCAGAAAGATTATCCTTTTCCAGACAAGCTTTACACCAAAGAAAGAACGTGTGGATACATCACTGCATCATATTTCAAGATAATCTGATCCTTCTTAGATGCTTTCATATAGAAGTTCTGGAAATTCATCCATATAATTCAAGCAGTAATTAAAAAAAGAATGAAAGAAAATCCAAAGTATAACTGGAAAAGAAACTGCAGAATCAATAATGTCAAAATTTGTCTCTGCACTGTGGACAAAGCTAAACAACTTTCTTAGTTTGCATCTACACCAGGCACGGGCAAAACTTTGGCCCTCCAGGTATTTTGGAATTCAACTCCCACAACTCTTAACAGCTGGACATCCTCTGATTGGGGCATATTTCAGGATAGCAACTATTGCATAGGTAAAGGTAAAGGTTTTCCCTTAACATTCAGTCTTTTCGTGTCCGACTATGGGGGGTGGGGGTGGTTCTCATCACCATTTCTAAGCCAACGAGCCGGCATTGTCCGTAGATGCCTCCTAGGTCATGTGACTGACATGACTGCATGGAGCGCCATTACCAACCCGCCAAAGCGGTACCTATGGATCTATTCACATTTCCATGTTTTTGAACTGCTGGGTTGGCAGAAGCTGGGGCTCACAGCAGGAGCTCACCCCGTTCCCTGGATTAGAACTACCAACCTTTTAGTCAGCAAATTCAACAGCTTGGCACTTTAAACCACTGTGCCATTGGGGGCTCCCAACTATTGCATCAAAACCTATTATTATTAATATTGTTATTATATTTATTTACGCCCAGCTTTATCTCCCCGAAGGGGTTTCAAAGCAGCTTGACATAAAAGCATTGGTAGGTAAAATAAAGATAAAGGTAAAAGTAAAGGTATCCCCTGACATTAAGTCCAGTCATGTCCAACTCTGAGGGTAGTGCTCATCTCCATTTCTAAGCCAAAGAGCTGGCATTGTCCGTAGACACCTCCAAGGTCATGTGACTGGCATGACTCCATGGAGCGCTGTTACCTTCCCACTGGAGCGGTACCTATTGATCTACTCACATTTGAATGTTTTTGAACTGCTGGGTTGGCAGAAGCTGAGGCTAACAGCAGGAACTCATGCCGCTTCCCAGATTCAAACCTGTGACCTTCCAGTCAGCATGTTCAGCAGCAAAATGGTTTAACTCACTGTGCCACTGGGGACTCCAAAAAAAATTGTATCCAATTTAAAATATACAATATACAAAATATTAAAAAACCAAAGAAATTATTCCAGCAGTATAGCAAGAGTTCCTGGGTTCTCCTCAAAAGTCATTTCAATTGATTCCAGCACATGACCCAAAGTCCATGCTTCATAAGTTTTGAAGCTGTTTATTGCAAAATATTTGCTACACTAAACAGAGCAAGGTACTTGCTTTCATTGTCCACGTTATAACAGATACATTACCTCTGTAATATATACTATTTTAGTAGACCAACTGTATTCTATAGTAAGTACACTGAGTATGTTATCCCCCACAGAAGAAGTAATCTTGAAAGGAAGAGGCTAACATAAATTTGAGCAAAGTGAAGCTTGCATGTGGCCCTTAGGACATCCTCTTCAGCTCCCAGTCCCACCATTTTTTTTAAAAAAAGAGGGCAATTTTCAGACACTCTCATAGACCAAAATTACCTAAAATGCATCATTCCAAGCCCCCAACATTCTCAAAATGCACTCACAATAAAAGGGGAAATAGCTGAAAATTGAACCAAAATGACAGGAGGAAGTGATGTCCTGTCACTTGGGTCTGCTGAAACTTGCTGGTACAACCTGTCAGACGGGCAGAGAAAGGAAAAATGCCCACATGCCCTGTACAGTTTCCCAAACCTGGGTGAATGTTATTATATGACAAAACAATTGTATAATCAAGAGGTGAAAATCATTTTATTTTATTTTTCTTCCTTCCTTTGACTGGATAAATGTTGAGGCCAGATTTTATTCCATATTGCCAAGGTTTTCATTTGAAAGAGCAAGGCAACTTGGAGGTGTCCAGGAACCATGTATGAGCACCATGGGTTGGGAAGAACATAGGAGATCTATAGTCAAGGTCTGTCAATGGTAGGAGGCACTGAACAGAATTGGTGACACCATGCTAGAGAGAAGAGTTAAACTTATTTTCCTTTTGTCATTTTCCTGATTAAGTATTTTCACCAAAAACCTGAGAAGAAAAATATTGTACTTCTGTTTCCCATTCTTCTGCAGACTCACAGCATCCTTGGGCTTTGTGCTTGACAGGTTTGGAACACAGTTAGTCAGTGAGGCCAATAGCTTTCCCCCATTATTTTGATCCCACTCAAATTTGGGATCCCTGAAGATGCTTTAACTTAAAATAGCACCATCACCACCATTATCATCAAGAACAACCAGAAAAACAACAATGGGAGGTTCTGAGCATGGATCTTCCACACCCTGTCTAGTCTGATCAGCTCACAAGGCACAAATTCACACCTAGTTGTGCCATCATGCCATGCACTGTCTCAAAAGTGATTCAACATTTCAGATCATCCCTGAGGACGCATTGCTACAGCAGAAGCAGGTTGAGCCAGAGGCAGGAGGAACAGTGTGTGGAAACACTGCAGAAATAGCCTATTAAGAGTGTAAGTCAGGTCAACAGAGCCTG